ACAAGTTATGGTTTATTAACTTATGTAAACTATTGGCCTATTAATTTTAATTCATCTCAAGTCTTGGCCTATTTCCCTCTTTCTCTTTTTTTTTTCTCTCTATTACCTAGAGTGAAGAATGTTTGGCTTAATTATATTTTTTTTTTCTCATGTACAATTCGGATATTTCTTAGCTCATAATATGTTGTAAAGTCATGAATCAATTACTATCATATCGCCTTAATTAAGGGAGTCAATTTTGCATCTTTCTTTGTTTTTTCATTTTCTCTTACAAATAAATTGTCTTTTTCTCGATCTAAGCCTTTAATGAAGCTCATAATCTTGCAAAAGGCGTCTATAATACTAGTTTGGATATGATGGATTGAGTTCATATGTCATATTTTTGTGTTTCTTATTGTGTTCCCCAAATAAGATTCTGACACGTTAGTTAATTTCAAAACTATTTAGTTAACATAATATAAAACTTTAATTAATGTGACATTTTAATTGATATAATATGATATTATTAGAGAGATATGAAAGAACACATGAAAAAGAAGACACAAGAATTAATTTTATGGTAGGCAAAAAGTCTTGGCACCAAGCCATTTTCGTTTGTCGTCAAATTTTTTTGCTATACTGATTTGCTATCAATTTTTTTTTTTGGTATCCAAAAAATTTGGCACCAATCCATTTTCTGTTTCATAACTTATATCGAGTTTATGTTTTCAATAATATGGATCATACATTTCATGTAGAGCATTATCTTGCAGATTAATTACCTTTTTTGTGCTATATTCTTTAAATAACAAAAAAAATATTAATCACTATTTTATAATCTGCTAAAATTATTACTCTCTCAATGCAGCTCTCTATATCTTTTAAGTTATTAATAGAGTAGGGTGATTAATTAATTTCTTTTTTTACTTAAAATTATAACTTATTTGTCTACATTATAAAATTGTTGTCCTGATAGATAATAAATATGATAGTCAAATTCTATAGTTTTAAAAGCACAATTGTGTTGTGATCGGACTTTTATGTTTGTATCATTTCTTTCCTTCTTTTTTAACAGATTTAAATAATTCAGACAAAAAAAAAAGTTATATTTCATCCGGAAACCAAACCTACAAAAGAGAGGAAATTTTGAAATCAATTAAAACGAATAACATAATTTATCAAAAAAAAAAAAGAATTGACGAAGGAAAATATCATCTTACAGTGGGTCCCTAAACGCAGAACAAACAGAGAGAATGTCGTATCCCATCAATTATCTTCCAAAAACAAACGATAAAACTTTCTATTTTGTTTTGCGAAAAAACGACAACAATTTCCCTCTCAATAACTCTATGAAACGACGACACATTATTAAAGTCACCGGGCCTCAATTTACGTTTGCTCAGCTGCTGCACGTCTTGCTTATTACCAAGGACTTGATGGGACCCACTGCCAGTCAACCGTACCACACCATCGGATTCAGCACCACAGATAAACAAAAATGACTTGACTCATGGTAGTTTTTTCAACAATTGATTACTAATTAGGAGAAGGATGCATTTATTGATACTTTTTTCTACTTTTCACAAATATATTTTTAAATTAATTCTCATTTTATTTGTTACACTTTTTTAAAATTTTAAAAAATTCTCTACAATAAAATTATTCACATTTTATTTTTTACACACACATTCTTACACTCCTCTCATTATTCCCAAAAAATCTCTACAACTAAATTGTAATTTTTATCTCTTTTTTTTTCACCCACTAATCTTCCCCTTTTTTTTAAAAACAATCTCTTTTTTTTATGAGGTTTGTTTTCTCTCATGTTTCTTCTTCTTCTTCTTCTTCTTTTCCTTAAAAATCCAATGATTCTTACAATAATGTTTTTGATTAGGATTAATTTCACATATGGTTCTTGAGGTTTACACTTAACTTCATTTTAGTCCATGACTTTTCAAACGTCGCATAAATGTTCCGTGAGATTTTATTTTGTTTCGGTTTCGATCATTCCATCAGCTATGCGTTAAAATTTAATAGAATATATATAAATTAGAGTCTAAAATTAGAAACAACTAAAATATTGGGTCTATCTAGGAAAATTAATTTTAAATTTTTTGTATTGTTTTAGTTTTTAAACTTATTTTTGTTTCAATTTTAATCCATAATTTATACAGATTTTGTCAAATATTTAACACCAAACTAACAGAATGACCAAAATTAAAACAGAATAAAACCTCGTAAACTAATTATGCGGCATATAAAAAGTTGAGGATTAAAGTGGAATTGAGGTTAAACTTCAAATACCATTTGTGAGATTAACTCTTAAGATTAATTACAAAATTCTCTTAAATTATGACTCGTATAACGCTTATACCTCAAATTTTAAATCGTAGCATCCATTTTTCTCAAACTTTCAAAACTTCAACAAATTTAATCTTTCCATTAGTTTTGTTAATATAATTGCCATATGTCACGTGAAGACCACAATTATAAACGACATTTTCATAAAACATAAATAAAATACATCAAAAGAATTACAAATATATATTCTTCATAAGAAAAAACGCAGAGGATTCTCTATCCCCATTTTATTGAAGCACAAATTAAGTCAAGATAGTATTGGTTTTTACTCTGATCCATGTCATTAGTTTCTTGGGTTTGTAGCTGTTACTCATTGTTAGGCCTTTGGTGGAATGAAATTTCACTTTAGCGAAAAATAAAAGTCACATATAAGAACAATACGAGATCACATATTAGAGTAATATATCCCTATTAGAGCATAAACCCATAACCCATTATCCATTGAGTCATAGATCTCAACTTCCTCAAAAAATTCCCAAAATTCACTGATAATAGACAAGATTCAGTCAGAGAGTAGCGACTGTGGACAGTGTGAGCAAAGACCAGCGCTGAAAGCAGCATCTTCAATGGCGGATCGCTGCCTGGAATGAAGAGTCACTCAAGATCGCATCCCTTTTTCTGTGAATTGCAATATAGATATATATATATATATATATATATATTTTTAGAACTCAATGTGTCTATGAATTTAAATTCGAATTTGATTTTAATCCTTTAATTTTTGCTACTAAAATTTAGGTCTTTTTCAATTCACGATTTAAATTATATTATTATAATATTTTTTTAATAAAAATTTAAGTTTAATTTTTTTTATTATAATATTTTTTTCACATATATAATTTAAATCATGAATTAAATTATGTAAATAAATTATTTAAACGTGTTTAGTTATATTAATAGAATAATAATAATAATAGAAATGATAATGGTAAATGAATGAAATGGAAAAGAAAAAGAGTATTGGTGTGTTTAGTTGAAATTTTACATATACAATACCATGGAACACGATATATTATATTTGGACAAAAATACCCTTGTTTTTTTATGGATAATTGTTCGGAAAATACACACAAACATGAGCAACAAAGACTAAAGAGAACACTTTTCAAATGGAGAATGCCTAATTGATAAATGCTTCGCGATGCCATCGAGGATTTTCTTTTCCTTTCAAAGTCTGGACTTTTTCAGATTTCATCTCTTTTTTTAGAGACCTTTTTTCACATATTGATGGAGATGGTGGGATTTTGCTGTAGTGCATCACGATTCACACGGCATCCATCAATCAGATCAAAATAATTGATTTCTACAAAAACCCATAAACCAGATACATAATCCCGTTTACTTCGTTGATTCGAGTTTAGAATTTGAGTTTTTTTTACAGTAAAAAGCTCTCATAAATAATCACATTTAACTTTTTTGTTACAGTAAAAAACTCTCACATAAAGTCACATCTCAACTCAAATTTTAAACTCAAATCAGCGAAGTGAACGGCAGTAGAAAATACAAAAACCCATAATTCAGATCACATAGAAAATCTACTTTTCTTCACTCTTCAATTTCCCTTTAAAACCGTAGATAGAGATGGGCAATGGGAGGACGGATCTGGGAAGGAGACTGGGTGAGGAGCTGAGCGAAGGGGGAGTGGCGGGTCTGGGCGAGGATGGGTTTCTGCAAATCTGGGTGATGAAGGCCTAGGAGAGGCGCTTGGCGAATCTGCCGGACGCGATGAGGGCAGAGGAGGACGACAATTGAAGAGGTAGTGGTGTTCCAAAAATCAAAAGGTGAAATGGTGAAGGTGGCTGCCGGTGACGTGGCGGCGAAGGTGGCTGCCGGTGACGTGGCGGCGAAGGTGGCTGCCGGTGACGTTGCGGCAAAGATGGAGGACAAAGGAGTGGCGGACATGGTGGTGTTGAAGGTCTTGGAAGTTGTGCCAGGGAGAGTAGTCGGAAATAGGAGAGATGTTGGAAAAATATGAGGGCACTTGTGGAAAAATAAACAAATATAGATTGGAATTATGATTCTTCAGCTCCTCATTTTAAGTTTATAATTTAAATTTTATTATAATAAATTTTTTAAAAAAATAATCACATTTAATTTTTTTATTACAATAAAAAAATTTTCACATAAAATCTCATTTTAAGTTTATAATTTAAAGTTTATTATAATAAATTTTTTAAAAAAATAATCACATTAAATTTTTTTATTATAATAAAAAATTCTCACATAAAATTATATTTTAATTTAAATCAATAATTAAACAGAAATTAAATCTATTAAAAAAATAACAATTCCATTAAAATTGGTGAAAAACTATTCAAAAAATGATAATTCTTTATCTTTTAGTCAACTAATCAGAATTGTCTCAGTTTTTTTTCTTTTTTTTTCCTTTCTTTCCAACTTAACGTGTTAAATTCAAAGAGCTTCAATTTTTTTAAGTATTGTTAAATATAAATTTTATTTATTTTATCAATTTAAATTTTATTAAAATGAAAAATTTTTATAAAAATTATATTTAATTTTTTTATTATAATTAAAAAATTTTCTATAAAATCACATATTATTATTTTTTTTTTATTAGTAGTTAAGAGTGCTAGTTGCAACAGAAGAACAACACACGTCATCCCGTTATCTTATCCTACATTCTCCACCCCAATCCCACTCTCATTACTTAACCGCAATTATTCCTCTTTCAAATTCAGTCTGACTTCAAATTCTGCTTTTCTATCGTAACAAACAAACGGGCAGAAACGGACCCACAATGGCAAACCAAATCCATTCCCCGGAGAATCATTGTGATCTATCTCTTAGCAAACCAAAAAAACACCTTGATTTGCGTGCTCATTCACCTATATAAAAAAAAAAACCCACCTTCTCTTTTGTCGAAACTACGCAAATCCAATGGAGAAATCTGGGTATGGACGTGACGGTATTTTCCGGTCTCTTAGACCTCCTCTCGTCCTTCCCAAAGACCCCAATCTCTCTGCGGTCTCCTTCCTCTTCAGAAACTCTTCTTCTTACCCAAACAAACCCGCACTCATCGACGCCGATTCCGGCGAAATCCTCTCTTTCTCTCAGCTCAAATCCACCGTTGCCAAGGTTTCCCATGGTTTTCTCCATCTGGGTATCAAGAAAAACGACGTCGTTCTCATCTTCGCCCCCAATTCCATCCACTTCCCGGTTTGCTTCCTCGGCATCATTGCCATAGGCGCGATCGCGACCACTTCGAACCCTCTCTACACAGTCTCCGAACTCTCCAAACAAGTCAAAGATTCCAATCCCAAACTGATTATAACAGTTCCCGAATTGTGGGAGAAAGTAAAGGGCTTTAATCTCCCGACAGTCATGTTATCTGCCGAACACAAATCAGTCCCGAAAAAGGTTTTGACTTTCAATGGTTTGGTCAACTTATCCGGGTCGGCTTCGGATTTTCCATCGGTCAACGTTAAGCGAAGTGACACGGCTGTGCTTTTATACTCCTCCGGGACGACGGGGACGAGCAAAGGAGTGGTTTTGACTCATGGAAATTTCATAGCTGCTTCTTTAATGGTTGCCATGGACCAAGAAATCGCGAAAGAGATGCACAATGTGTTCCTCTGCGTTTTGCCGATGTTTCATGTTTTCGGGCTGGCAGTGATCACGTACTCGCAGTTGCAGAGGGGAAACGCCGTCGTTTCGATGGCGAAATTCGATCTAGAGAAGATTCTGATGACGGTGGAGAGGTATAAGATCACCCACTTTTGGGTTGTGCCTCCAATTGTGCTTGCTCTGGCAAAGAATAGTGTTGTAAAGAAGTACAATCTTTCTTCTTTGAAGCATATTGGCTCTGGGGCTGCACCTTTGGGCAAAGAGTTGATGGAGGAATGTGCTAAGATTATTCCTCAGGGTGTTGTTATTCAGGTACGCTTACTCTTCAAGCTCAATTGATGATTTCATTAATATTAAAAGTTTCAAGCAGTTTTGTTATTAAAATGGTGCTTTTTTTTCTTTTTCTCTAGCATGGCATTAGATGTTAGTGTCAAATCCTTGTGAAGTTGAGTGTCTTATTGTATATTTTTAACTTGCATCGAGCTTAGGGTCCTTTCACCAAACCGTAAGAGATTTGACTTGAAAGTAAAATAATAAGAACGTGGATCGTTGGTTCTTTTGTAGTGCTTGTCTGTCCGTTTAGATTGGTGTAAGAGGAAACAATCTAATTCGCTTTTTAGTTTTTAGTGTTAACTTAGAAATAGTAATCTTACCAATGTAATTACTAATCCTTTTACACAGTTAAATAATCACTAGCTTTAACATGGGAACTTAGTATATAAGTAATTTTGACATTTATTCCTTTTAAGTTATAACCGAAAATCAATTAAGGAGAGGGGGCTATGGTTGACACTACCTTTCATCATTCTCTATATTGCGTGGGTCTCATTAAACTTTCATTATTACTTTTGTAAGTAGGCACATGGTTCCCTTTCATGCGAGTAAACACGTGCCCCCTTAGTATAGTTCGCAAGCATCAATTAACATTTTCGACATTGATTATGGTAAAACAGTTTTAATACCTGCAAAAAAATTTAGTATAAGATGAGAGAGTTGTAATCTAACAAACTGAGTTTTCTTATATAGATAATTGGATTTGAAAGTTTTGCCGTGCTGATTTAGAAAGTGTCTTATTTGTCGCTTCAGGGGTATGGTATGACAGAAACCTGTGGGATTGTTTCAGTGGAGGATACAAGAGGAGGTAAACGAAATACTGGTTCAGCTGGAACACTTGTTTCAGGAGTTGAAGCTCAGATAGTTGGTGTAGACACTTTGAAGCCTCTCCCTCCAAATCAGTTAGGGGAGATATGGGTGAGAGGACCTAATATGATGCAAGGTACACGCACACGCACATGCACACGCGCGCGCGCGCACACACACGCAAAATAAATAAGTAAACATTCAGATCAATGTGAATGTAAAGCCAGGGTAACTCAATATTCGATAGGATTTTGCTTTTGATCTTGATCTCTCGTTGAGATGAATGTGTAATTCTTTTGATTTGGAATCCTTTTTTAGGTTACTTAAACAATCCGCAGGCGACAAAGTCGACTATGGACAAGAAAGGTTGGGTGCATACAGGTGATCTTGGATACTTTGATGAAGATGGACATCTTTTTGTTGTTGACCGTATAAAAGAGCTCATCAAGTATAAAGGTTTTCAGGTTAGCATTCATATTTGATGATAGGTGTTTTCTGGTACTTGTTCTGTGTTGTTTCCATATAAAATCTAGGAGAAAAACACGAGATATCTTTTTCCTTTTGCGTTGACAATATATGTGAATTGTATCATCTGAAACAGAGCAATATCTAGCAATTTGCGGTTATTTTGCCCCATCCTGTATCATCTTCTGCAGCTTAGCTAGTTAAAGTTATTTGTGTTACTGTTTTTGATATTGTCACTTTTCCTATGTATGGCGTAAATAAACAAATTTACATTTTAATCTCTGCTATGTATTTTGTGGGTAGAACAGATCTTTCCACATCCATATGTTGGCTAAACATAATTTTTTTGCCCCTGAAATTTGATGCAGAACAAGTCAGCAATATTCAAAACCTCTATCATATTTCACGATTATTATTACAATAACAAATATTCGGCATTTAACTAGCATAATTTGAAGTCGGTACTTGATGTAATTTGGTCCTTGCCAGGTTGCTCCAGCTGAGCTCGAAGGACTACTCGTTTCTCACCCCGAGATATTAGATGCCGTTGTCATCCCGTAAGTTGTAATTCTAAACGCAGAAAATCTGCATTCCTAGTTTCACTTATATGGCAATTTGAGTCACTCCTCAATGCTTGATCCCCACAGATTTCCTGATGCTGAAGCAGGCGAGGTCCCCGTTGCATATGTCGTTCGCTCTCCCAACAGCTCATTGACTGAAGAGGATGTGCAGAAATTTATAGCTAATCAGGTAAGATTTCTTACAAGGCAGTTTGCAAACAAACTTCGGCTTTTAGCTACAAAAATTGGTTAATTGGTCTTCATTTTTATCACAGGTTGCACCTTTCAAAAGATTGCGGAAAGTAACTTTCATAAACAGCGTCCCCAAATCTGCTTCAGGAAAAATCCTCAGAAGAGAGCTCATTGAGAAAGTGCGCTCAAAAATATGATGTGATAACACAATTTGCAGTGTTATTGGTTCCGGTATTCTGAAGTTGGAGGCCTCTTTGCAATATGTCCTGCTTTGTCACCTGCAGAAGTTGGAAGATTAAGATTGTTTCCACACATAATGATTATAGATTAAAAATGTAGAACCATCTCAAATGAGTATGGAGTATAAGCACTTTTGTCATAATTGGGGAGTATATTATTGCTCTGGAATAAGATCTTTCGCCTATAACATTTATACGAGCCATCCAAATCAATTTTACGAATAAAAAAAAAAAAGGAGGTGAAAGGGTCCTACCAAACATCTTTTCTTAATGTATATTAAAGAGGGCCTCTGTAACCGGTGGAAACTGGTGGGCGTCCACTAAAGACCATTCCTGGCTCGGCTCCGATAACGCAATACCGGGAGGAGTTGGTCTTAGCCGTTCCTTGACGGTTAACACACCTAGATCAGATTCTGTACGGGATGGGTGTCTGCAAGTAGTGCTTGAATGGGAATAGTTTTTTTAGTTGCTCTTTCAACGAGTGTTGGAAACATGTTTGAGGCCAATCTACCGAGAACTCTATAAAGAGTCCGGAGTCATGTGCAAATTCTCCTACATGTGGCTTGTCTGTGCTTTTCTAGGCAGATTATCTGAAGCGTAAACAGAATCACCTTTGTTCCAAAGGCATTTCTTTTTTCTTTTTTTTTTTCAAAGGCGATCCTTTTCTTTTTCTAGACTGAAGTCTTATTGGTAGTGTCAGCCCCTAAAAAACAACTCCCTAAAAGAAAAAATTCGCTAATAGTTCCTAAAAAACAACTCCCTAAAAGAAAAAATTCGCTAATAAAGGAACACCAATGGACTTAACCCGTACTATCATAATGTATCTAAAGCTACTCCAGATTCCAGCCTCTAGGCAACAAATCTGTTCTGTTCTGAGTATCAATATCTAAATCCAATCTGATTTCCCCTTTACACCTTAGAAAACCTCATAAGCGAAAGGCAAGAGTAGAGAAGCTAAACGGTCCATTTAGCACCTCAAAGTGCTAAGCACTTGATGAAGAGAATACCCAAAATACAAATGCATCGGAAAAGTTGAAATATCTGGTCAAACGACACCAATGCCCATAAACGACAGTAAACCAACATCGACTTATTCAACCAAAGCTCAATTAAGACATGCAATCCTAAGTGGCTACATACATAAATAAAATGATATATTCTAAGAAAGTGGTGTTTTTACTATGACATTTTATTTGGCATTATATGGACTTAACAAAAACGAAAAACAAAAATTTTAGCATATTCCCAACTAAGTTGATATCTAGAAAAGATATTATCCTAATTAAAATTTAACTCAAATATTATTATTAAAAAAAATGAAATACAACACATATATGTGTATGTGTGTGTCGATAAAGTATGAACAAGCCAAAAGACGAGATCCAACTAAAAAAGCCGAATGCAACAATCAACAAAAATATAACTAAAAATAGATCTCAAAAAGAACAACCATAAATCCTTGTAAAACCTTAACCTATATGTGGCTATGTCTCGTCAAAAATCTTTCTAGATACAACGTTAAAAAAAATAAATAAATAAAGGCGCAGTAACCACCTAAAGGGTCTAACCAACAACCTAAAACCGAAGTCCTAATCCTAAACTAGAAGATGGCTGCAACCATGACAACTGCAAGCAAGGAACACCAAGAAAGATAACCAGACAGCGACATGATCAACTAGTTATTCGCCATAGCTATAACACACACATATCATCAACTAGTACATGTACTATATGATTAAACCACGTACGTGGAAACTCCACCTAAGTGCAACTTGCGTGAAGATATATAGGATTCTGATTATATGGAACAAACCATATATATTAATACATGATCATAATCAATACATGGATTTATACGATTTTATAAACATATATCTTTTAATATATTTCATTCTTGAATACTACTTTGCAGCCAAAGAATCGTACTAGTGGACTACTTTGCTTATGATAAAATTTTAAAGGTCATGAATTAAGCAGGTTTCTAAGGTACTGCTTGAAGTCCCGCTGCAACAAGGGCCGATGAAAACATCATCACTTTTTAAACCTAGTTAGGTTTCTGAAGTTAGCATAATCACTCGAATAGATCAATTGGATGACTGTGAAATCGAACATCATATCGAACCAGTAGTACTTCAACAGTTCGGACTAATGTTGACGTTTCGCCATTTGCCTCTCAATACCTATGTGTGTGTGGCCGTGATCATGATTAATTACTAGTTCAAGTTCTTCCAGCAAAATACACACACATATTAAGGTCATTATAAGTTTTATATATATATATATATATATATATTACAGTACACTTATATATTTGTTCCCTATCTATATTTTTTTTATCTCAATTCCTCTCTCTCTCTCTCTCTCTCTCTCTCTCTCTCTCTCTATATATATATATATATATATCTGTGTGTGTGTGTGTGGCTGTGTGCATGCACGTATAGAATATAAGATAATAAATCCAATAAAAACGAAAAGGGTACCAATTGCAACAACACAACAAAAATAGACACAAGAGTACTGGAAATCTGTTACCAAATTAATAATAAGCTATACAAGATCGACCTAAATACCCCATGCATTGTAGCGATCGATTCGGGGGGGGGTCTTTTATTTTTCAAATGATCAATTTATAAAAATATGTAAATAATTATAATTTTTATTTCTAATAAAAATTTATTTAGTATTGGTCAACATATATATTACAATTTTCCTAATGGATTCATGTACTTTAAAGTGTTGTATATAGTTTGAACTTTGAATCGAACATTAAAAATAATTGAATATGGGAGTCCATAGTCCATGAGTGGAATACGGTAATTCTTTGTTTTGAGAGATAAATTTTTGAAAACAAGATAAGTTTTTAATCAGAATTAGTAAGAATAAAAGAAGCTTGAAATAAAGTTGGTCGGCAAGAAAAGAAATTAAATGGTGCCTAGAGTCACGAAAAATGAACAATCTATACTTAAAGAGGCAGCATAATCGAGAGAAAAATATTCACATGGGAGGAGGAGAAAAAAATATAATAAATAGTGGCTAAAGTTTTTAAAAAGAAAAAGAAAACGAAGTAATATGTAAGTATCAAGAGGAACAATAAAAAAAAAATGTACGTGAGAGCAAATAACAAAATTATAAATAAATATAGAGAATAATTAAATTAAAAGGTAACAAAAAATGAGTGTCCCCACTCCCCAATACGTAGATCCATCCCTCCATGCCAACAGAAAACTAAACCATTGATAATGAAAAGCAAAAAACTAATTAATGGAATGAAAATTATAACTTTTAAAGATATACGATATATAAAGTGAAGTGAAAGGTTATGATAGGTCCTTTTTTCCTCCTTTTTTTTTTTTTTTTGCTCGACTAGACGTTGCAGAATTTTTCTGAGACAGTTTAAGATCACGATACGAGTCACAGACCATGACTGGAACTAGAGATTGAGACTAGGATATGAAATGGGATTAATTCCAACCTCGATCGAGGGAATGCATGGACCTTGATCGAGGGGTAAGATTGAGGTCGACAGAGAACTCTGACTCGTCGAGACTGAAATAGACCGAGATCGAGAAGAAGACACTCGTGTTAGGGGAAAGGATCCCTAGGCGGTGACACGCGTCCCATCTTCTCTAATTAATGCGACCAACTCAAATAAGACGCGTGCAAAGTGAATAACAAAATTGAAAGCGACCTTCTCTGGATTAGGAAGCTTCTTGGGACCTTTCAAAAACAGAATGTCCTAGGAAAAGCCCTTGCGGGAAAGGAATGATGGCGTGTCATGATCAAGGTGGGTAAATAATATCCATCTGATCATAATAATCATCATATAAATAGAAAACGAAGAAAGTTGAGAGGGAGATCACTTGCTCTCGAATCCAAATTCCTTCCCTAGACCGAAACCAATCATGCTTCTTTTGTCATTCTAATTCCTTTGAATATTTGTCTGATTTGAGCGTCGAAGTGTCTTCTGCAGGACAATGCCTGGCAGTGCCCAGTAAAGGACTGATCGGAAG